GGGGGGTAGCAGTGGCCGCACACAGAGTGGCTATAGTGCAGGGTGGTGGGTGGCAGCGGTGGCCACCACACGCGAGCTTTCCCTCCTGCCCGCGGCCAGCAAGCCAGAAATTCCAGTTAGTGTTCTGGTTAGTCAAATACCAGACAACAGGGATTTTACTGTAAATAGATGTAAATTACACCAGAATCAGGAATAGGCAAATGTGCAGCTACCTCAGGGTATCATAAGCAACTAGCACATGGTTTGCTAACAGGTGGCAGAGGAGCAAATTAAAGCCTTTTTGTCATTACTTAACAGCTACTGTGGGATGGACACAGATAAAACCTACACCAGTGTAACTTATGCTAGTACAGTTTTATCCTTATTCTTTCAGATCTGTCTCTCCGCAACACTGGGCAAAATTACCTCAATTTACAGCAGGAATGGCCAACACACGACATGCATGCCACAGGTAGCATGGGAAGCCTCTGTGAGCAGTATGCAACAGATTGGGGAAGAAGCAGGGAACACAACAGCAGATAGTTGTGAAGGGAAAAGTAAGTCTTTTGTAATATTGTACAAGATGATAGTCTCATAAGTTGGCTAACTGGTTGAAAAATAACTCTGAGTAGTTATCTACCTATCCCAGAAAAGTTGGTCATTATACAAAACCCATATAAATTACACTGGTAATAACTGTTAATATGTCAAGACCCCCAATCAATTAGCATTGTTATAAGAAAATAAAAATTGAATACCATAAAACAAAGTTTAGCAGCTTTAACATGACTTAACCAGCCATACTTAAAATAAAATCACCAGAAGGTTTAAATAGACACCCAGAATTTTTTATTTTATTTTTTTTAGGTATATTATCAAATTATATATTACTTCCCTTTTAGAATATCATCATCACTAGAATATAACACAAATTTCCTCATTGGGATAAGTACATTGAAGAGAAAAAAGGACTGTGCTAGCCAAAAGAAATAAAACAACCAGTAGATAAAAGAACGCACCATATGTTTACAGCGTACCTGCATTAACTAACAGCAAACATCACAAAAAAGTCAACATTTGCCAATAGTTAAAAGAAATCTTTTTAGTATAGGGGGGATAAAGAGTGTTGAAATTTCACGTAGCACTGTTATAAAAAGTGAACATTTGTTAACAGTTAAGAGCAATCATTAACAATTTATACCAGTGATCACCAAAGCATGATCTATGGGTAGGCCATAGCTCACATCATAGCTACCCCCTTGCAATTAAAAAATTAACTACTAAGAGTGAATGGTGATCTGCAATAAATTTCGAGGTCTGACAGTGGTCTGTTGATACAAAATGTTTGGGAACCACTGATATAAGTCATTATTATAACAAGGCTTACCTCTCATAAATGGTTTTTAAAGTCAGTTGATCTGGAACTCCTTCAGTCTCTTCCAAATACAGTATCAGCCAAGATGTTCTGTATGGCCACTGCTCTGTAAGGTTGATCCAACTAGCTAGTCTATCCCAGTTGAAAGTGATCTGATTTGCTCTCAACAAACGTCCTAAAAAACAAAAAAGTGAGGGAGGTGAAACATTACTTCTAAATGGCACAAACTTGTGTTGAACTTTATATAACAGATAAAAGCCTTATAATTCTTTAATAGCAGAAAGCAGAAAAAAGTTCATGGTAGTTTAAATCTAACATTATAGACCTAAAATAATTTCATATCACAAGTAATATAATTTACTAATTATACTACTTATCATAAAAAATCCTAGCTGATACCTATCTCAATTTCAAACAACATCACAACTGTGAGCCTCAGCTGTAAAACAGGAAAATGGACAATAGCCATCCTGTTAGAGGTAAGAATTAGGATCCTATAGCAAAGCTTCATCACCAGGAAGACTGCTCACTGCCTGTCTTTTGCCCAATTTCAACCACATTCTTTTGGCACCACATTCAGGACATTCAGAGAATCAAAAACAGCTAGAAGGGACCTTTGGAAGTCACATCTAGTCCAACCCCTTTCCCAAGGCAAGATAATCCCACTCCAAACCATCCCATACAAATCCTGGTCTAACCAATTATTAAAACTACACAAAATTAACCCTGTTGCACAACTACAAGGCACAGCATCCTAACCTGCCACAAGTAAAGCAGGGGGACAATGGCAGTCAGTGTTCTGCTGCTGTAAAGAGTTGTTAATATATGTTCACAAGATCCAAGGAAGAGAGCAGGCAAAAACCCCACAGTCCATAACAATCTCATCATGAGGTAAAATTCCTTCCTGACCTAAAACATGAAGATCAGTCAGACCCTGAGCCAAGACTCTCTAGTACAGGGGGGAGCAATTATTTGGACCCCAAGGGCATATAGGGAGTTTTACTGAGCTATCGTGGGTCATATCAGCACCTCTCTCCCCCACCCCCCAGTAACTCTGCAAAACTTCATATAGGGCTTTGGTGGGCGATCCACTCCCTGCATGCCCTGGCCTGCAGGGGGACATGGCAGGGGGTGTATGGTGGTTTGTGGAAGAAGTGTGTGCATGCATGTGGGGGAGGTAGAGGGTAAGGAGGCTGTCTGGGAGCCAGCCAGGGGTGAGAGTGGGAGACAGCGGGGCACATGCAGCAGAGCTCACCCAATCTGCAGCTGCCCTCCCACAGTGCTCTGCACAGGGCTCAGCCCTGCCCAAGGCAGCCCATGCAGTGCTCCCGCTCATACCTGCCAGCCCTGGTCCCAGTCCACGCCCTGGTCCTAGCCAGCGCACAGCTTCTGATGGGGCTGCTCCTCATGTGGCTGCAGCTGGCCAACTGCTGCACTGCTCCCCTTGCCTCCAGAGCTGCAAGCTGAAGCCTGCTCTCCTGGAGCAGCACAGCAGGAATGGAAGTAGGACTCACCACTGGAGACAAGGGGAGCAGAGCAGCATGTGCCTGGCTGCAGCTGCACCAGATGCTTTGTGAGTGCTGGCCAGGGCCTGGGCCAAGGCTGGTGGCCTGTTCTGCTCTCTTTGCCTCCAACTGCAGCTGCTGCTCCACAGCTCTGGGCAGACAGTAGAAACAGCCCTGCCAGAAACTGCATGGTTGGGGCCTGGGCTGGTGAGCACTGATGGGAATGTGGCACAGGCTGCCCAGCAGGACCAGGTGTGGCTTGGCTCCATGTGGAGCACCGTGGGGCAGCCACAGGCCAGACCCAATCAGTTGGTAGGTTGTATTGTGCCCACTCCTACCCTAGCAGGAACCTCCCAGAAAGAGCACTGGCACCCCCCAGTCAAAATTCCCAGCCCTGGGTGCAGCCAATACTGAATGCTTCTGAGAAAGGTGGGAGAAAAAAAAATTGCACCAATCTCTGACCGCCCTCCTTCCACTCTCCCCAGCCCTTTGAAGGCTGGAATTGTGCCAGTCTGCATAGAGCTCTCTGCAGAAGTGCAAAATCTACATGTTTCTCTGTTAAAATGAAAAATCTGCATTTTTTTCAGGTAAAAGGGGAAATCCATTTTTTCCCATGGGAAGTGGAAAACCCAGATCCCTGGTTATTACATATTTTCAAGCTCTAACTATATAATTGAATGGACCTTTTATGACATGATGGTTAATCTGCACTTGCACCCAGTCTAAATTAATTGCACAATTAACCTGTTTATCACATAATACATTTAACATGCAGAGGGGGCCTATGGGACTTTTATTAATTTAAAACACAGCAACTGCAAAAAATTCTAAGACAGTCTACGTTCAAGTTTAGAACATTTAATTTTCATATTGCCTTCGGGATGGGAAGCCACTGAAGTTTTGGGCCACACTGGTTAGCACTCTAAAACAGTGCTTTTACTTTAAAAAAAAATTTTAATACTGGGAAAGCTTGAATTTTGCCTTTCAAAATATCGTTCTTAAAGTGCCCAGCATTTAGATTGGTTCTTTTGCAGAAAAATTTGCAAAAAAATAAATTAAATCTCAACTCTGGATTCCCCCTCACACAGTAGACTCCTGTGATTCTTTTTATAACTGTATTACTGAAAGTACCATATTTTCCTAGCATACATAACCCTAAGAAAGACGCACGCTTCGTTTACGGAAAGCAGAATGAAGATTTTTTCCAAATATGGCTGAATGCTGACTTCAGGGGATCCTGACTGTGGCAGTAGTGGCTGTGAGAGGATTAACACCATACCTGTGACCTTAAAAAGTGAACTTCACCCCTCCCTTCCTGAGGCTGGCAGAGGAAGAAGCACAGCAGATATCTAGCAGTAATGCAATAATGCTTATAATCCTCCACCCTTCTATTCTAGCAAAGAACAATCAGCTTCCCCACTTAAGGCATGCACACCAATTTGGGAAGGCTAATTTTTTGGAGAAAGGTGTGTGTAGTAGGCAATTACATATGGGTACACAGCTCACTCTAAGCACATAAGCATTGTAAAAACACCTCACTCTTGTAAGCATGCTGCCATTTTATCCAATCAGTATGCCATAATATGTACTGTACCCAGTATACACACGTCATATCTACCTGTCACAGAAACAATATTGAGTAATCTTCTCATCGTCTGAGGACTGATATCGCTGAACCAGTCTTCTGTGACTAGAAGCTTGGTCAGATCAAAAGACATCTGGCGAGTAATAGTACGCTGCATCTGTCGTCTTCTATAAGTATCCTGAATTTAAAAAGCAAAAATACTACTTAGCTTAATTAAATTTTATGTATTTAAATGACTTCACTTCAGAAACACAGGAGCATAGGACTGGAAGGAACTTCCTACACCAGAGTCCAGATCCCTGCATTTGGAGGAAATCATTTAACCAAGGATCCCCCAAAATCATCACTTAAAGCCTCAACTGCAAAGCACAAAAACACTGTGAATGCCATACAGTAGTGGGGGCCAACCTTTCTGGAAGACACAACACAAATTAGTCATGCATCCTCCACAAGTGTCACTCTGATCCCCATCCTGTGCCCAATCAATCCTCTGCTTTGCTTTCTGCTTTCTACTTCATGCTCCCTGCCCAATCTGCTCCTTGACTTCCTGTAATATCTGCTGCTGTGCTGCCTGCTCCCTCCTTGGTCTGCCCCATGCCACACACACAGGCTGTGCACACCATTTGTGACACTTGTGCTATAGGCTGGCCACCCTTGCACTACAGTATATCACATGTAATAGAAAGGGAAATGAGGTTACTGTCAATTCCCTGTCAGATGAGTAATTGGCTGCTATAGGTTTTATATTGCAAAAGTTTATTAAAAACTGTGAAAATATTTTAACAGAAAACTCTATAACAATCAACAAGCTGACTCATATTAGCAAAGTATAATGGATCAGCATAGTATTTTGTAAGAACACCATAATTTTTTTTTCTTGTACTGTCTCTGCAAACAGCTAATACCTGCCACATCTGAAAAAAATCACTTTCTTTAATTTTTAAAATTAAGGCCAAAAGAAAAAAATAGCCTTTAAAATAGGCATACTGTAAGGTTGCATATTTTTACTTCATGTAACAGAGGGGCACAAACCCTCAGAGCGTCCACATGGAAACTGATATATAGAAGGCAGGAGAGAGATAGTAAAGGAGTTCCACGACACTAGCAGCTCATTTCTGCTTTTGTAGTTAAGGAGTGAAAGAGTTCCTTTATTTTACTGAATACAGGATTGAAGGACTGTGAATCACTATTACAGGAGCTGTTCACCTTTACTGCTCAGGGTAAGGATTACATTATTTCTCTTTGTCTAGTTGAGGAAATTACAGAAAAGAGCAAGCAGGCTGAATTATGCCTAAGTGAAGTTCAGCATCTATACTGTTCCCAACTGATTAGCTTGCAGGACTCCTCACCCCATACAAGATGAATCAAGAAGTGCTAGACAGTACCAAGAGATCTACAAAGTAAATATGAATGTAAATCCTATTTAAAGGCTGCCCTTCCTCTTGTGTCATTCTAACGTTTGGGATTAGCTAAGCACTCCAAACAACCACCTCCTGGATTTAAGTGTCTTAGCAACTGAGTAAACTCAAACTGCCTTGACTTTTGGTAGAGCCAAAGTTCACTGACCTAAAAATCAGGTCCCCCCCAACCACCACCACTTTGATTTGTTGTTTTGGAAGGATAGGCTTGAAAGCTGACATTGTAATAAGTTTATTTTAAAGTGGTTAAACAAAAGAAAAGTAGGTATATTACAAGCACTTCCCCTTCTAGTATTTTTCTCACCCGCCTATTGAGAGCAGTTTTGCTGCCAAGTTTGGTCATCTCTCCAAGGCTATTCTGAGAAACCCTTCTGTCAACTTCTTCATGCAATCCTAAAAGAAGGACATTTTCCTGTTAAAAATATGTATATCATTCTATTATACGTGTTTATTCCAACAAGTAAACGTATTTGTAATAAACTATGAAATATTTGCAAAAGATAGTTGCAAAATGCCACATTCTTACAAAGACTAAGAATGTGGTTTTGAGCTTATTTATTTTATGACCTAGCTATATGTCTTTTGTACAGCACAACCTTACCTGTATTATCTGAATATGGAACATCTCCATTGGTAGTTGCAGCTACCATCAGCTTTTTTGCACTACTAAGACCACGACTGTTAAGAAAAACAGGCAAATGGACTATATTTCTCATGTAATCATGTCCATTTATATTTGAATCTCGTAGCACACTATTTAGATTCTGGTTAATTGCCTTTATAATGATGTGTGGGTCACTTGCAAAAATAGCAATAAATGGTCCTTTTGAAAACAGGACTCGTACCTGCAACAAGAAAAAAGTAGACTGAATTGTTGTTTCTGTGTACAGTTAAAATGTCTTTGCGTTAACATTGTACACTAATTTTGTTCTGGTAAGTTCAAAAAACAAAGGATGCAACAACATGCTTTTTCTATATTACTTTTAAGTAAATATCAGAATATTACATATTTTAATGAGAAGTGTTTACATTATATGGTATCCAGAGAATAGTGTGATATACACCCAAAAATTGGGTATCCATGATATACACCCCAAAATTTAAACTTAATTCTTAACTTCTGAATACTTTTCATTTAAAAGCTATTTAATTTATATATTCAGTATATGAAAAGCAGGGGGGAAAAAAACCTTCTTTAACAAAAAGGGCTAGTCAAGATCATACCAATGTGATCTGCTGATCTTGAAAGCCTACATTAACACTAACGTGTTTAGTCTTGCATCATTTCTGGGACTTGCTCATAAGCTAGTATAAACTGTTACAGCTTCTATTCAAGCTAGGACAATCTGTATCAACTAAGGAACAACCAGTGAAGGTAAGGTCACCGCTACAAAATTATCAGACTCACTGTGTCTAGCATCTGAAGAACTTTGTCCTGTTCACACGCATCCAATCCATCAATGATTACAACAAGCCTTGTCTGATTCTGAGTGAAGCTATCAATGGTTTTTGCCATTTTGGCCATCAGTTCCACTTCACATTTCAGAACCTATTAAAAATGTAAAACAAAGGAAGACATTCAACACAATGATCATAAACTAAGAAAAAGTGTTCAACTTCTGTTGCAATGAGCTTTTCATAAGTCATCTTTTTCTAAAATGAATACCAAGGCCAATAAAACCATTAATTAAGCATTTTTAAGCACTGACAAGGGAATTCATACGCAATAGAATTGAAGGCTAAATAACCCCTACAAAGGAGATACAAAGTTTCTTTCTTCTTGTGTTTTTTCTCCCAACTTAAGTAGGCTATCATATTCTAATATTTGTTTTGAATATTCAAGTCTAAGACTTGTTCTAAGATATATTTTTTTAATATATCAATTCCAAGATTTGTTTTTAATATTTAATTGGAATGGAGCATTAGATGAAGAGAGTGGAGGTACAGCTCTTAATGGATATGATATTGTCTGTCACAGAGATTGCAAATGGGAAATTATTTACAACTATCAAAGCTTTGCAAGTGTGGTAACTTTTGTAATTAAGGTTCTGTGATTTTATTTAATCATAATTCTATTTGAGACTCCAGCTTTTACCACACTATATAGACCATTTAGATAATTTATTTTCCTGCATTTTGTCCTTCTACTACAAAATAAAAATTGCAAACCAATAATGTATTCAGCCAATCAAGCTGGCTGATTAGATAGATTGTATGCAGTAGCTATAACTCTCAAAGCAAAACTTGTCATAAAGTTTACCAGGCTTGGCTTGATAAAGCCTTGTTTTATAAGAATTGCAGTACCCTTTATGATTCATCACACTGCACTTACCTTCATAAACCCTTCACTTTTCAGCTTGTGAAGCTTGGAAGCAGCATTATGAAGACGTTTCCTCTGGGAATTCAAGACTGAATCTATTACTTGCCACCATGTACGACAGTTCAAAATAAAGGCCAAACCGACAACACATGCAACTGATATCAGTATAGCATTCACAGTCATGTTCTTTGGATCTATGTTAAAAATGGCCAGCAACGTGATCCCAGCGATAATGCAACTCAATATGAAGAGGAAGATAACAAAGGATGGGAGACAACAAGTTTTTTTCCATTTCTTTTTACCTATAAAACAAAAATATTTGAAGTTACCCATCTTTAAAATTTACGTTTAACTTGATACAAAATGTATTAACTTAATCACTTTGTGAGAGGATCAAGTTAAACAAAAATATCTTTGTATGCTTATATGCGATTAAGTCTGAACAATGACATACAAATCTGGAAAAAATTCTTCCAACATAAGACGTATCCATCCTGATTTTCAGTTTCCTGTTTCTGTTGTCTCAAGAAATCCATATTGAATGTAGGTAATCTTTGTGAAATGGTTTGATTGTCTCCACTTCACCCAAGAACTTTCTGCACTTGTCAAAGCCAGGAGAAGAACATTACAGTCATTAACCATCAGGTATTTAGGGCCTGGATAGCTAATTTCAAGTCAGTGGATGGACAAGAAAGACTATTTTAGATACACTGTGCAAAAATAATTTGCAAGATTAATATCCAGCTTCATGAGGACTGAAATAGGGATTCAAGTAGAAGGTAACTCCCAAGTTCCAGATCTAAGTGTCAGGCAGGATGTAGCTGTCCACAGAGATGAAGAAAGCAAAAGGAAAGAAGGCACATGGAGAATATAACTGAACAGAGTAAGAACTGGGTTGCAGTTATGTTATGCTTCAGCTGGCAGATAGGCAACCATAAAAAAAAAAATGCCTGAAAATAAATCAGCTGTTTTTTTAGTTTTTCCAGGAGATAACAAGTGGGGAGTAGAGGGATAAATCTGAGTCAGACAAAAGATGGCAGCCGAATGTTTATTTGTGAATAAGATTACAGAGATGAAGTGTAAATGGAAAAGAGAAAAAAAAAAAACACCCAAGAACAGAACCTTTCAATATATGCACCGAAAGCCTAAGGATGCGAAAATGGGCAAGATCCTCTGAAGGATAAATTAAAGAAGCACTTGTGGTGGGTGGGAGAAGGGGGTGGGGAGAGAGAGAGAGAATGGGTTACCATATTTACTCATATCCTACACCCACTTTATGTACTGCTTTTCTGCTCAGAATAGAAACATGGAGACACTAAGGTGGCTGCTGCTTCTTTTCCTTCCCCTTTGCCCCCTTCCTTCCCCCCCCCCACAAGCAGCCACATGAGGGGAAGGATGGAGTCCAGTCTTCAGCAGCAAATACAGTTTTAATCCTTTCATAGCTGAACTGGAATAGGGACAAAACCTAATCTTTAGCTCATTCCCCCACTTTTTCCAGCTCAGGCAAAAGCAGTCAAATCAGGTGTGAAAGGGTTAAAACTGTATTTTTTGCCTGAGCAGAAAGAGGATAGGGAGCGGGCTGAAAATTAGGCTCTGTCCCTATTCCATTCAGCCATAGCTCCAAAATTTTGTTTTCATTCTGCCTTCCCCAAAATAAGGTGTTTCTCTTATTTAGTTGTGTGTTATATTATAAAATACAGTACTAGGAAAGGACAAAGTCAAAGAAGTCAAGGGAAAAAGCATGTTAATTGTGTCAAAGTTGGCTAACAGGTCAAGAAGGATAAGGATAAAGTACAGGGTCTGAGTTTTGGTTTGGAAGAGGTCATTAGAGACTTTAATGAGAACAATTTAACTTGCATACAAAGGACAGAAATCAGACTAATGAATGTCTAGAAGGGAAACTGCAGATAAGCAACACCAGACAGCAATTTCTATGAGAGTGCTTGATTTGTCTAGCAATAAGAGAGAATGATAGTAGTTGGGGAAGCAAGTGAAGTCAAGGTTGGGTTCTTTCAGGATTAAAGATACTAAAGCAGGCTTTTACTGTAATAAGAAAGAGCCATAGCAAAGCAGCAGCACATAACAGTTTCCTCAATGCCCAGTAAGTTCATCAACTAGATGAAGAAAACTGGCTAAAGCTGAATTCAGACAAAATGGAAAAAATGTCTGCACTGGACTGGGAAGCATTCTGAGAAACATGTCTTCACAACATCCCATGCTACTATGGATATATTCCCCTCTGCATGTTAAGTCAGTTATCAACTTTAAAGCCCTTTTACACTCCCCTCTTAGTTCCTGGACATTCAAATAGCTATTACTGAAAAAAGCCCACCATACTCTGTCTGTGGGAGGTCAGAAATATCCACCCACTCTGAACATCACCTTAATGCCCTTTCCTCTGAACTTGTCAAAAAGGAGGGAGTTTAACTGCAAAGGAAAATAACTTCAGCTCAAGACAGACTGCTACCAGCATATACATAACTTTTGTTGATAATCCTTTAAAAAGTTATTTTAAGAAACTACAAGCTGCATGCACAATGTATGGAGTAGAAAGATTATAAAAGGTGAAATGGTTCTAAAGGACTTTTCTCCCCACAGATAAATGGAAGTAGTCAGAGCATAAGTCTTTCATATGAATTCCTGTCACCTCTATTTTATAGTTTAGATAAAATATATACAGGGTGTGAAAAAACGGAACAATTTTTATGAGAGAGTAATAAAATGGAATAATCAGAAAGGTCATACAGGTAAATAAATACCTTGTGTATCTTCTGTCTTGAACACTCGAAAAAGCCTTGTTGCTAAGAAACCAAATTCCCTTTCACATGCATCAGAAAGGGTAGCAATCATTTCAGCCAATGAAGTTTCTCCTCCTACACTGGACAGTCTATTGTAGTCAGTAAACAGAAATCTGAAACACCAGGAAAAGAACATGTAATTTTAAATCAATTTTGGCTAGTAGAAATAAAAGCTTCCTGTGCCTCTTCAACTGAAGAATGCCGCTCAAACGGGGCAAAACAATAACCCTGTAACCATTTAATTTAAGATTATTCACAGATGTTTCACTGATGTTAGTGCTTTAATCTTTTTCCTCTGCTGCCTCCTGTCTCCTTTCCAATCTTTCATTTGCTCTTATCACTCCTCCCATGTCTTATCATTTTCATATTTCAGTGTCTCAGATGAAGATATTACAAATATAATAGTTTAAAAGCAATTATATTAAATTATTAACATGCAAGATTCTCTCAGACGTATGCAGTATGAAAAGCTTCAGTGTTTCAGCAGTTACATGCTCTATTAAAAAGGCGCAGGAATAATAAAAAGTATAAAGTTCCTATATCACAAGAAAAATAAAAACTAAAGCATAAATCCAAACACAGTAACAACCTAAATTCAAGGACTGTTCACTTTACTGGAGTAGACACAATGAGACTTTGCATACACTAATATTAGACCCTCTGTATAACAAACTTTACCAGTAATCAATTACATCTTGTATTTTATATTACATTCAAATACATGGTACATACAAGAATGGGATCCTCTTTGAAATAATAAAGTTAAAAAAAATTCTGAAGAAAAAGCTAGTCATACTGTTGCATGTTTCAAGTGATGTCAATGTGATCGATTTTTAAATGCTTTTATGCTTTTCCTAGTGACAGCATCATTTTCACACAGAAAATTTGACTTTACATTGATTTTGTTACCTTGATTCCATGCCAGAACCAAATAGTTATTAGAAAGAAAATAACTACACACATTTAAATGTTCCTACTATATGCAATATGATACCAATGTGAAAATGAATTATTTAAAAAAAAATATCTAACCTAACGGGTAAAGCTTTAGTGGTTTGCTCCGGTAATTCTGGTGGGTTTACAAACATCAGTTTGAGAAGTAGCTCCAAGTATCCAATGTGTCTTGCCAATCTTGTACTCAACACCCAAGCCCAGTTCCAGCTCTCTCCTTCTCTTTGGCCACCAAAATAAATCACAGCTGCATTAAAGAATATTAAAAAAAAAATCAAGTTATAAAAAATTAAACAGGTAAGACCTTAATACTTCTCAAAACTTACAGAGCTGTTGAAGCCAAGTAGCTTATCTACAGCACATAGCATTGTTTTCTTCTGTCTAGTATCCAGATTTTTTTTGTAAGCAGTTAATTCAGGCTTTACAAATATAAGTACAAGGTTACACTGAACAATGGACCCCTGGAGCAAATGAAAAGCAGCATTTAAGGGCTCTAAAGGTGACTGTATTCAGTCTTTGTTGGCAAACAGAGCACTAGCTGTAATTTAAGCACCAAGACGAAGGTAAAGCAACAAACCACAGGTGGCTCTGGCCACAGACAGATGTTACAGTTCTACCAGGAGAACCACAGCTCTCCCAATAGAAAACACAGGTGTACAGGCATTCACAGTTTCTCCCAGAACAAAATGATTTTTCCAGGAGAAAAACAATCCCTCTCTGACCTACTAGAGGTTGCTCCTGGTAGAGTTTTCCTGGGAAAATGAGCACCTTTAGACTTCTCTGCCACCGCCTGACTCCTCCTGGGGACTGAGAGGAGTCAAACAGCAGGAAAATGCTCCCCCACCTTCCAGTGAGCAGGATCACCCTGGTCTGAGAAGGGAGGGTCAGGGGTGCACTAGAGAGTAGCTGCTGCTCGTATCCTCTTGGTCCAGGGAGATACCAAGCAGTGTGGAAAGGCTCCCATGCCTTCCAGAGACGAGGCTCACCCTGGCCCAGAAAAGATGTGGAAAGCAGCTGCTCCCACCCCTCGTGTAGATCTAGGGAGCAAGGGAAAGGAGGAACAGCCACCCAATGCTTTCCGCACTGGAGTCCCTAGTGTGAGGAGGAATTCTGCTGAGCAGCTTAGGCACAGGCAGGGAACAGCTGCTGCTTGCTCCCTGCCTGGTCCTCAAACTGGAGTCCCCAGTCTGAGGAATGGCTGGGTAGAGGTTGCCAGGCTGCTCCTCCACTTGCTCCCAGAGACATGGAGCAGAGCAGAGGAGCAGCTGCTCATTGCTCCCTCCTAGTCCCCAGACCAGAGTCCCCAGGTTGGGGAAAGGGCAAGGGGCTTTGTCCCTTTACTCCCTTCCCAGATTAGTCTAGGAGAAGGACTCCCTTCCCAGATCAGTCTCAGAGCTTCTACAAGAAGCTGTCACTGCTTCCTGTCTCTTCCCCCAAAGCAGGCGCTGCCCAGCTCAGGGAAGGGGCCGGAGGCTTTGCCCCAGTGCTTCCTCTCTTCTGCTCCCAGAGACCAGAAGTATAACGGAAGACTACTTCCTGCCAATTCCCCAGCCCCTAGTCTCAGGAAGATGCAGGGAGTCTTTCCCTACCAGTCCACTCCCCTGCATGGGCCAGGAGGAATAATGCAACCACTGTTCCCCATGCCTTCCCCAGACCATGATCACCCCAGTCTTGCCATCATGTAAACAGAGGACCTACTGGAAGGTAAACCTGAGCAGAAAACATTATTTAAAAATCAACATGACTGCTCCAGAGCCAGAGTCACCCAAAAAGGTAAGTGGCAGGGGGTAAGTTTAAGGCAACCCCCCAATAATTCATTCTACCCACAGAAAATTGTAACTTTGCTATATAATTACAATATATAATTGTCCATGTGTAGAATCTAATCATTGGGGAGATTCTTAAATTTAAAGTAGTCTTGAATTCAGGTAGATATGGGAAATGTGTTAAAAACAGGTTCTAAACCACTTTTGTCTTCACAGTAAGTGCAGTTACTGAGACACACTTTCCACACAGATAAAAATATTTAAAATCTGTGCAGTCTATGTTTGAGGAAGCTGGGTTATAATAATGTTATTATTAAATTGTACCCAACTGTTAAGATTCTAGACTAGTATGTCCAGAACAGCAATTCAGGTAACTCAGAAGTATACCATTTATGATACCTGGCATAACTGCCAATTTAGCACCCTTCCTTTCTAGGGAACATGCAAGTTATAATTCAATTCACTGATATGACTTAGTAAAGTAATACTGACTCATCATGTCAAGAGTTTTCATAAGAACGCAAGTGCCATAATTGGTCAGACCAGGGGTCCATCAAGCCCAGTATCCTGTCTCTGACAGTGGCAAGCAGAAGATGCTTTAAGAGCAGGAGGTGCGGCCACTGGATCCAGCCTGGATGTGTGCGGATTTAGCAGCAGAAGGCTTTGGCTGAAGGTGCTCTCTCCGTGCCACTTGGGAATGACTGCTGGCAGTGCCCTTCTGGTGATTTCTGACCCAGGATGGATCATTCCAGCCCACAGCCAAAAAAAGTTGCCTACCCCTGCTTTAGAGGGTAAATATATGAATAAGCTATGTCTAAAGTCACTTATCCCTGATGTCCTTCCTGGTATCCAACAAAGATGTCAGAGGATGCATCCATGACTGTTCTATCAGAACTCACAGAACAACTCTCATTCACAGATTTTACAGACTGGATGGGCCTCAACCAAAAAGTTACATGGTTTCATGCTAACAAATTAGGGATCAGATTCACCAGTACATGAGGGCTGCTTCTTCCGGCTTCATAGACGCAACCTTAAATGTAACTGTGATTATTGAACTGTATGTCATAACAACATATCAAGCTGTTCAAATCTAATTAGATACTTTCCTATGTCATGGCATCGTTACAAGGTAGAGTTAAAGTATAAAGGGCAGAAACACACAAATCATTCAAATAACCTTAAACTATTTAGGCTTTTTGAAGTTATATTGGCTTTTTGTAAAAAATTCTGGGTTTATAGTGTACAGGACGGCTGTAACATTTTACTAGTATTTTATTATTAAATTACTGATATTTACATTTTAGCACATTAAGTTTTAAACTCAGAATCAAAAGGACATAAATATAAATTATGGGAGCTGATTTAATGATTTTTTTTTAGTTATTGTTTAGATCCACACTACTAAAGTTAAACGTGTTATTTTCTGTCTTTTCTATGCTTATTCCTTTTGATTTTTATTACCTCATCCAAAACAATTCAAAACGGAACTTCAGTTTTAACTTTGTATTACAGAGATTCTTCAGTTTTCTGAAGTACAGAATATACTTATAAAAAGAGAGTAAAAACAATTCTAAATAGAGACAAGTAAATGACTTACCAAAAAATATATATAGAACTGCTAACAAACTCAGTGCCACTGCTATTCCAAGCTTGGTGTCCACTGTGAAAGCAAGCAATAAACCCAGACCTCCACAGACCATGAGTGTAAGGAATACAATAAGCCAAGAGAACTGGAACAGAGGTTCAATCTGCTGTCCTGCAAAAGTTTTCATTTCATCTAGAAAAGAAAAGCATGTAGAGAAATAATATAACTTAAGTTTGCTAAACTTTAAAAGTCAGAAAAACCAGCTATCTTAAAAAAAAAAACCACCATACTGTTTATGTACAAATTACCTGAGCATTTCCTGCCATGCTGATTACTCACGATAATAATCATTATTGTACCCTGAACCTTCTAAACTCTGGTACCAAAAATTAAGGCTCTATCCAAACAAACCTAAAGTCATTCTAGTTATAATAATCTCTAAACACAAATGATTCTTACAGATTTTCTGACCAAAATCGACAGAAAGTTTCTTATCTGCCAAAACCATGCCATAAGCAAAGCAAATCTCCTTCAACATATCTTCATAGCATTATAACAAAAAAAAATTATCTCACTCCTATCTAGGAAATTGTGTTATCACTCTGGTAATATCCGCCATAGTATAAAATCATGTAAAACAGAGGTGCTCAACCTCTAGCCCACAGGCTAACTAAGGCCTGCAGAGCCATTGCAGCCACTCTCCCCCATGGCAAATACCCAAGTCCCGTGAACCTGGTGGAAGCCATGCTCCACCTCCTTCCCTGGCAGGACCACGCTAAGCGCCCCCCACCAACCCCAACAGCAAGGCTGGGCTACATCCCCACACACACAAGGGTGGGCCACCTCCCCTTCCTCATATGGAGCTGAGCCATGCTCCCATTTCCCTGGGGGACTGGGTTAAGGTCCCTTCCCCTCCCCCCCTCCAGAGGTCAGGTCATGTCCCTCACCCCACAGAAGGGGCAAGTGAAGCCCCCTTTCCCCCTTGATGGGCCAGGCTCATGCCAGGCTGCCCATCTGCCCACCGCAAGGACAGCTAGTGGCCGCTGCACTGGGCCCAGGCAATAGATCAGAACCACCATCCAGCTTGCAGACAGATCAAGCATAGCCCATCTGGCCCAGGTGTAGCATGAACTGAATTAGCGTAGCTGATGTTAACATAGAGTGTAATAGTAGCGAACTGTAACCATGTTAGTCTTGTCCTGTAAATAACCTGAAATCTCCATTTTCTATTCTTTTGCTTGACATAAGTGAATTAACTCTGCATGCCCTTTATGTATGAGTGTATGTGAAAGGATGGATGGTGAGAGAATGGCATAGAGACAGGAAAAAAAGATTTAACTACGTTTGTAAGCAACAAGGCACCAAATGTGTTAGTTACCAGTCAGTAAACTAATTAATGATGGCTGAAGAATCCCTTTGAGGCCTAGGGCATGAAGGAGATAACGAGAAAGAGAAATGCACACATCCTGCCAGATGGGTAGCAAGGACACTCCAAGGCTGAGATACCAACTTTTACGACCAAACTGACCTTGGGCTGAGATAAGCAGAAGATGGATGAGAAACAACTGCAAAAACAGAAATTGGGTATGGAAAAACCCCAAAGTGCAAAACAAAGGATGCCAATCCCCATAAAAGACGACTCTGGAGTGAGTCTCTCTCAACTGCTGCTTTCTTCAGAGCACAGACACATCTATTCACGCCAATCCAGCCTGCTATCTGCATCTTCTCTCAATAGACCTGGGCCAGCCACCCAATACTCCTATTGAACAACTGCTGCTGGTAACTATAATATTTGAATGGAATAGTTGTTTTGTGTTTGCATATGTCTGACTGTAATGATGTGTAGGATGATTTGTGTGCGTCTGTATGAGTGGTGTGTCCGGACCTCTATGTCTAATTCATGTAATCAATAAACGTGGCATTTTGCCTTATCCCCCTTTATAAGGTCCTGCTCTTGATTTGATAAATTGGTAATTCAAAATAACAGTTGGAGGAAAAAAGCTGAGCACCACTGATGTAAAGAGTTAAGTATTTACGTCTGTTGTTCAATGCAGTTTCATTTAAACAAGAATTCCTTCAAAATGTATTTAGCAAGAGGTGTTAAGGTCATGATCTAGAAAGTGACTAAGGAACACAGCAAAGATGGAGAATAGAGCTCTCTTAGAAAGGAATAGGTATTTCAGCCAATATTGTGCAATGCTTTGATTATGAATGAGGGAATCAAGTGAATGGATGTAGTTATTGTGAATTAATAAGTGATCAGACATCTAGAAATTGCAAGAAAAATTATGTGAGATTCAGTGGTTGGGCAACAGAATAATTAAATTATGTTACAGTAATATATCTTGGAATATAATATTTAAACTTTTTATGAGTTATATTAAAGAATTTCAGAAGATAGTTAAGAATTCAATCTGAAAATCTCCATGGGAAGCAGCAGTGAAACACTTATATAGGTTGTCTACTTGCTTTACACACCGAATGTCACACAGATTTTTAGGGACCTACTTAATTTGCAGTTTTGTGGATTTGGCAGAGCCGCAAAAATTCAAGATTGTCCACAAAATCCACAAAATAAACAAAAAATTGAATAAAAATAAAACGCCGGCTTCCCAATGGGAGCCAGTGGTCCTCACTGCCAGGACGGGAAGGCACATAAAATGGGAGAAAGGGTGTAGCACGAAGCGCAGTAGACAAGATGGCAGCTGTCCTTTCATCCCTCCTCCCCTCACTGAAGCCTTGTCACCAATCAGTGCCGAGGGGCAGGGCTACTGTGAAACTGGCACTGAGCAGGCCGTGAAAAACCCTTTGCCTCACTGCAATTTAAGTAGATCGCTACAAATTATACATGTATTAGAAGGGGAAATGTGAATTAGTGGCCTTTACTCAAACAGTGCTTTCAGTTTTGTTGTCATCTCTAGACTGACAGCTTACATAAGGAAGCCCAGGATATGGTAAGGAAATCCAAGAAGACTCCAGATGCAGACAGAAGTGACAATTTATCCCTGAACCAACAGTAAACTTCTGTTTGGTTTGGGATAATGCAGTAACTCAGAGCGGTTTGCAGAAATCCTTCTGAGTTACAGCTGGGAGCGGCACTTCTGTCTGTACCCTTAGAGCAGAGCTGTCCAACTGGCTACCAGGTGTTGCTTTCCCCTCCCTCTCCTGGCTTCCATTTTCTGCACCGTCCCAGTAGTGTGGTAGAAGTTGAGCATGATTCTAGGACCATGTGGGCACAGAGTGCAGAAGGGGATTCATGGGAATGTAGTGCAGTAGGGAAAGGCAAGGGGGGGAGGAGGGAGCTACACCGCTACATGCTGCAGCTGAAGGTGCCCATGTGGTGTGTAGCCAGAGGTCTGTGCCCCCTGCTGGTCCAGCCTGCACAGTATGCAGCCCCACTCTTCTGTGCTTTGGGCAGTGTGGCCCCTTGGCTGCTTAGAAGCTGGACAGGCCTGACTTAGGATATGAACAAATGTAACACTTAAACCTGAAGTAGACAGATATACTCTACAAGCCTGTTGAACCTGTCGAAGGATAATCTGGAAAAAATCAAGTACTCCATCCATAATCTGGATGGACTCCAAAAATCCATCCATAATCTGGAAAAAATCAAGTACTCCATCAAGTACTCTTATGTATAGACATAAAGTACTCCATGGGCCTGGTTGGTCCTCCAGGCATTCCTCAACACCTCCTCTACTGCAACTGGCCACTCTGGTACACAACACCCCTCTATCTCCAAACCCTCTTTTTTATCCTTTTTTTGTTCACACTTTTTAAATCAACAAGCTCCCTTGCACTTTTTGTACAAAAAACCCCTATCTTTCTAGTCAGTCCTTACTCAACTGCGCCCCCTCATCATATGCCCTCCCTTACATGGTGCCACAACACCTCCTTCTCAGTTGTGAACTGGTTCCCAATCAGTGACATTTGGTAATGGTTCAGTTCTTGTGTGTGTCCCAAAAACATTAAGATTTCTTTTCATCTTTCCAAGCTAAATAAAGATGGGTCAAACAAACAATACTATAAAGAAAACCATTATTCTATAACACACAGAGTGAAAGGATCTAATATTTAAATCAAACTGAAAATTAAGGAAGTAAAATTCTTTCAAAGCACCAAAACTTTGCAGGTTGACTCACTACTGCAGAAAGCCTTGAAGACTAACAAATAACTAAGATTTTAAACCTGATTAGATATAAATTTTATATACATATTTATACATACATAAATATGTATGTACATGTACATATATAAAAACTCCTGCACAAGCCATGCTGGACTCGGAGGGTTTTTGGCCCCTGTCCTGGCTAGGACCTGGGCGGAGCAAGCAGCTGGTTGCACCAGGCTCCCCACTGCTATCAGCCCTGCTCCTCTAACCTAGAGCAACAGTGAGCATTGCCTGCTGGAATTCACCATCCAGCGCAAGGTGGCAAAGGCCTACAGCAAGGTAGCAGCCCTAGATTTCAGGAGGGCGGACTTCAACGAGCTAAGGAGAATAGTTGGGGAAGCACTGAGGTTGCAGACAGGAGGGGAGCCAAGTGCCCAAGAAGACTGGTCGCTCCTTAAGGAGACGATCCTCCAACCCCAAAGGGAGGTAATCCCAACATGGATCAAAGGGGGCAGGAGGGCGCAAAAGCCCCCATGGCTCACCAAGAGCATCCGGGAATGACTCCTAGCTAAAAGGGAGGTGCACACCCAATGGAAGGGAGGGGCCATCACCAGGGAGGATTATTCTGTGGTTGCTCGGGGATGCAAGGGGGTAGTCAAGAAGGCAAAGGCGGAGATGGAACTGGGACTAGCTTCCCGGATCAAGGACAACAAGAAGTCCTTTTTTAAATACATATGGGGCAAAAAGAAGGTTCCGGGTAAAGTGGGGCCCCTGCAGGACACACTAGGAAATTTGGTCATCACACCAGACAACAAAGCCAACATATTTAACAATTTCTTTGCCTCCATTTTCCTGAGCAGGGACCAGAACAGTCACCTCCCCTCTGGGCCCCCCTTAAATCCCAGGGGAGGTGCACCTAGGCCAAGGGTTAGTGAGGAACTAGTTAGGGAACTTCTGGAGGGACTGGATGCATTCGAATCAGCTGGTCCGGACGATCTCCACCCTAAAGTACTAAGGGAATTGGCTGAGGTCATTGCAGGACCCCTGGCACAACTTTACGAGCACTCGTGGTGCTCTGGTG